TTTGCAATTTTCAGTCATTTTAGATTACAAACGGGAATTTGACATCCCCAAAGGGTATTGGGCGACATGTCAATTTCACGTTTGTAATCTAAAATGACTGAAAATTGCAAACTTCGCAAGGCTATATTATCCGCATTTTACAACATTTCGCAACGAAACTTTGGAATGTTTGTGATGTTACTCTGAGTGTAAGATCACAAAGAGTAACATCACAAACATCATATTCACCTGAGTACACAACACCAACACAGAAAAGAAACTTTGGAATATTACTAATTTTGTGATGCTCTTTCAAGCTGTGATAAAATTTTTGTCTAGACTTGTTGAGATCTAAATTTTAGTCAAAAGGTGAAAGGTCCATTCTGGATATTTAGAAGTTTTATTTTCCGACGTTTTGAAATGAACAGATATGCGGACATACACAAATCAAAAGAGCAGTTTAAATTTGAAGCTAATCGTGCTTTGAAGAACCGCCCCTTGGGCCAGTTGTTCAAAGCTGGATCAGCGCTAACCCTGGGTTAAAATTTTATGTATTTCTGCACGTCTGTTTATTTCAGAGAATAAAACTTTTGTTCATCCAGAAAAGATTTTTGAAAAATATTTTCAAGTTTCTATACGACTTTTCCAAAGTGTTTCGTTAACCCAGAGTTATAAGCGAACCCAACAACCTGTCCCTGGAAGTTAACTGGAGGCCACCAGCTGAGGATGGTATTGTTCTCTCTATAGGTACATCTCGTTCAGGTATCGCAAGCAGTTCTGGGACAAAAGTTAAACCCAGCAGTTCCCGATCAAAACCTGGATCTCGACCTGGATCGCAACCTGGGTCTCCAGCAGGCTCGAAACCTGGATCCAGGCAAGGCTCGGCACGCACAGGGCGACGTTCTTGATTATTGTAAACCGTAGGGTATATGAAGACAGCAGTTAACTTAACTTAAACGAGAATTTGTAAATATATCTAAAAATATGTAACATATCTTTTACGATTTTCTTAGTACAAATGAGTAACGTTGTTTGAGATGTTCCATATGAGTCAGCCAAACAAAAATAACATGTATCTATTTAAATCACACAGTAAGTGTGATATCTACAAAAATGTCTTGTTGTCGTCCGATAGTCAATAGTCTACGAATGTATTATACTGAACGATCTATTGTGTCTATTTACGGAGGGGGGGGGGGGAGGGGAGGGGGGGAGGCAACTGCCCACCTACAGAAAACTATATTTACGATTTTTAGAATGTCATTAGTTAATTATTCTTTGGATATTTGGGACATTTTTCGGCATATAGGCCTTACTGCCCCCTGGTGAAAAAATCCTGCGTACGGCCCTGTTTACTGATCCAAGGTACTGTGATTATATATCTCTCTCTCGATAATGTATCATTCCTCTCTCTCTCTCCACACATGAATACTATTGTAAAGGTTTGCTATATTTATTCAGAATACGTCATTCACCAGTTGCTCGTTCCTCGCATGAATCTTCATCCTCCCTTTCTTTAACGTCCATGCTCTCCTCATCCATCTCCTCGGATGAAATGTCACCGAGTGAAGTTTTCTTCAACTGCTCTTTATTTTCTACATCACTCGAATCACTTGCAGAATATTTCTTTTCTTCAGCCACATTTCCTTCACTGCTATCTTCACTATCCAAGACAATCATTTTCTTTGTCTTCCTCGCATGTTTTTCACTTTCACTTTCTTCACTATCAACAAGATCACGAAGATTGTTGAAAACTCCTTTCCCAGCAGGACTTGGTGTGAAAGCTTTCTTGGAAACACTACAACTGCTTGATTGTCGCGTTACTCTCTTGCCTTTGGCTAAACAAATGAACAATTGTTTTAGGTACTGTTCGGATTGACTTAGCCTCCTACGCATGCACCTCTTGGGTTTGAAAAAAATTCTAATTCTTCCCGATCACCCTAAGAGATGCATACGGTATTGGCTAGGATTGACCATAGAAAAATAGATATAATAATAACTATATGGGTTTGAGTGACGGTTAGGTGAATGATGATAAGAGAGTTCAATCTAAGGTAAAGTGTAAATTCTGAAGAGATGCAAACATCCAAGATATGGACTATATAATAAACAGAACGTTATTGATTGAATGATGATAAGAGAGTTCAATCTAAGGTAAAGTGTAAATTCTGAAGAGATGCAAACATCCAAGATAGAGGACTATATAATAAACAGAACATTGATTGGGACTATATAATAAACAGAACATTATTGATTGGGACTATATAATAAACAGAACATTATTGATTGGGACTATATAATAAACAGAACATTATTGATTGGGACTATATAATAAACAGAACATTATTGATTGGGACTATATAATAAACAGAACATTGATTGGGACTATATAATAAACAGAACATTATTGATTGGGACTATATAATAAACAGAACATTATTGATTGGGACTATATAATAAACAGAACATTGATTGGGACTATATAATAAACAGAACATTATATTGGGTGGCTTGAAGATATGACTTTTATCTTCTCGTGTTAAAAACAATATTTTACTCGCTGCACTCGTTCGTAAAATATTGTTTTTACCACTCGAAGGTAAAAGTCATATTTTCGCGCCGCTGTGTAATATCCTCTATATATTTGTTTCCACAAACAAAATATATTATTGTAGTCAGTTGGTCTGAAGAAGGCTTTGAAGATGCATTTCTTCGCAATTTGTTTTACTAAATATTTTTCAAATTGTCGGCTGGAAATGGACTTTGGATGTAAGTCCAGTTAATTACTATGTTCGTATTGTTTTGTATTTTTTTAATGTGAAGTGCTTCTTAAGTTGGTATTCTGTCGTGGCATGATCACTGATTTCAGAACATGCGCGAAAGTAAAGATTTTCAACACAGGCTATTTATAAGAGTTAGTATCAGTATCAGTTAAAAATTAAGAGTTTTGTCACCAAACGCAATGGTTTCAGTGCAGGAGATAAACAATATACAGACGCCATGCTGGTTATATTGCCTTGGTAATGACACTTCAGATCTTGCAGTATGACATATCAAAAATAATCCGCCATTTTGGGTGGCAAAATCTTTTATTCAACCAACCACTGCACAGCTGTGGAGCATTATAACTCTTCAAAGTTCTCAAACAAAAGCAACAGCCGCAGCTTGCTTTGACGCCATGTTTGCTTTTAAGTAACTATCTGTAATTTGCCACCCAAAATGGCGACAACAAACACGTGTTGTGAATTCACTTGCAAGAGATACCTGGAGTTCCGATGATCTTGCTCACATCCAGTGCAGCTAACTCGTCTGCTCTTTCCTTCCTCATTTTATATTTCTTGCATTTCTTTAACGTTATACGACCTTTTAAAACAATAAGTTACATGCATGTGGAATTCATACCAGTCAATTATTTCGGGCGAAAGGGGTGCGGAGTTTGTATCATTTCAAATGTATAGCAATTTGACGTGCCAAGTATTTTAGTGTTTGACACGAGGGTAAAAGGACTCATGAGACACTCGTTTTCATTTAGTCTCAACCTACGTAGAAAAACTCCTTTCTTTGTGTTCAACCTACTAGAAGATAGCCTGCGCGCAGACTATATAATGTATATATGTCATTATATAGTCTGCGCGCAGGCTAACTAGAAGAGGCCGGGTTCGTACAAAACATGAAAAACCTTGAATTTGAAAACTACATTTCAAGTCCGCGCAATTTGATCAAATCCGAGGCGAAGCAGAGGACTGGACTACATTTCAAGTCCGCGCAATTTGATCAAATCCGAGGCGAAGCAGAGGACTGGACTACATTTCAAGTCCGCGCAATTTGATCAAGTCCGAGGCGAAGCAGAGGACTGGACTACATTTCAAGTCCGCGCAATTTGATCAAGTCCGAGGCGAAGCAGAGGACTGGACTACATTTCAAGTCCGCGCAATTTGATCAAGTCCGAGGCGAAGCAGAGGACTGGACTACATTTCAAGTCCGCGCAATTTGATCAAGTCCGAGGCGAAGCAGAGGACTGGACTACATTTCAAGTCCGCGCAATTTGATCAAGTCCGAGGCGAAGCAGAGGACTGGACTAAAAATGCAAGACCGGAAATCAAGTCCAGGCGAAGCAGAGGACTGGAAATGACATCTCATACGAATAATCACTATTTAATTTTGTTCCAGTTCAAGGACTGAATTAATTTTCATCCAATCAATATACTTCAAAGGATCAACATACTTCCCCAGGTATCCCGTATTATCATGTGAGCAAAATAAAGCAATATGGTTGGTTAATTTACTCATGAATTATTAATGAGTTTGAAATTTTATAAAGTGCTTTAGTGTTTGCTGAAATTGTTTGACATCAAAAAACGGACGGGCATTGTTCAATTGATTTTGTTCATATTTCACAAAGTTGTTTGAAACTCATTCAAACTGACATATAAACAGTTATATACAACTTCGTTTGTAACAGTTATACAGCTATTTCAACTAAGGTTGTCCCCCGAGCAAAGCGGAAAAGTCGAATTCGAGCGCGAAAGGCTGCTGGGAATCGCTAAAAATTAATGAATTTATTAGCGATTCCCAGCAGCCTTTCACGCTCGTATTCGACTTTTCCGCTTTGCTCGTGGACAACCTTAATTGAAATAGCTGTATACAACTTCGTTTGTTACTTATTTCTAACGTCTTCTTTTCAGCGCTTTAGTCCTTGAATTTCTCACACATGGCCGTGAAAGTTCTTAGAAAATTTCTTGAATTTTACTCTCCCTAACGTGTACGAACCCTGAAGACGTAAATCGCGTGAACAAACCTTCAATTGCAGTTATTTCCTTGATGTGCTTCTCCAGTTTACGTTCTTTTGCCTTCATTGAACGACAGTCGTCAAAAAACTTGATGTACGTTAGACGCATTCCACATTTCCATGAATAACGTTTTAAACCCTTCAATTTTGAACTGTCGTCTTTATTACGGCTTGACTTCCGATCTTCCTATTAAATATATCGTTGAGAATTACTATCTTCAAGAACAATCTAAAAACTGAACCATCACTTTATAACAAATATTAATTTAATTATTTTCCTTTGTATATTAAAACAGTTCCTGCAGTTTTTTGTAATTTTAATTTTCGGGATATGGGTGTTTAGTATAATTACATAGGTGGTGATTATTGAAAATTCTCCACGCTGATTGGTTGCCGTTGAGGTGATTATTACGCGATAATCACCTAAGCGATTTTCAAAATGGCGGCCGAAGCCGTTTTGTCAATTAAAAGACGAAGAAATGTGCATTTTTTTATTTTTTCCAAATAATCACCTATGAAATTATACTAAAACAATTATTCACCTCAGGCTCGGTGATTATCGTGAATAAAAACCTCGACTTCGTCTCGGTTTTTCACCGATAATCACCTCGCCTTCGGCGAATAATTGTTAATTAGTAAGGCCAAAAACAATATGTGGGTTTCCTATTACTTCTTGTAAAAACTTACGTAGGGTAGGTCGATTTTAACCTTTTTTTTTAAACTTTTTTTTTAAATTTTCCTAACAACTGGACGCCATTTTGTTTAGTCAGTGCTTCCACATCCAAAGATAAATTTCCGGTCCCTAATGTTGTCTCAAATTTCTTTTTTCCACAAACGTTTTCGTCTATTA